CAGCTGAAATTTCGCGCGCTCAGGCACGGCGAAATGACAAGTGATATAAGTGTTCCTATGAATATCGCTCTTTTTATGATGTTATGTTTATTGTATAAATTTACAATATCACTTGTCATTTCGCCGTGCCTGAGCGCGCGAAATTTCAGTCCTATCATTTGTGGAAAAAAATCGCTTCTAATTTAAAAACTATTGTAACCTCGACACTTTTGTATTAGGATTTTCGTCTGGAAATGTTCTAAGGAATCTGTCATTAAGAGGACCTCCGGTGGTTTTAGTACACCCTGTATAAGAGTTTAAAATCTAACGAATCCTATGTGCTTAAAGAGTCATCTGTTCGTGTGTTGTGGGTGCAATGGCATTGGATGTCGAACACATTCGCGATCGCTGACAGACGACAGATGACTCATTAATCAATACCCATGTTTAGTTATACTTTAAACTCTTATATATTTGAAATACTTTATTTAAAAAAATGGAATGCACCTTTATTATTTAACTTTCTACGAACTTTCGTACTGCAATCTTATTATCCTCGAATTTCGAAACACCTTGTATAATATTGTTGTAATATGCAAATGTAATAATCGTAAATAAAACAATTATATATGAGTATATAGAATATTGTTTGATCTAATAATTTTATTTTTTGTCAAAAAAGACAACGCAAAAATAATTTTTCGGATTATTTTAAAATTATTCTTATATAACTGAGATTAGAGAAGAAAAAGAAGACATGGATATATGGACTTAGTTTATAAACAATTATATATTTTATATTATAAGTTTTTATATAACGAATTTTTTACCAAGAGAATTTGAACAAATGACAATTAATATATAACATAACTTCAATATTTAACAATTAATGTGTAACGTAATATTAATATTTGATTGCAATGTTAAATATTACCGATTTACGAATTGAGTGAAAACCATGATGCGAAAGCGCGTCTTCCAAACAGCAGTGGTCATCAGCCATTGTGAGTTCCCCCTACCGTTTAGTGAACCTTCGCCGACTCGATTCGTACACAAACCGATTGGCGGTACAAATGCCCGCGCGCGCGCGTGTGTGCGTATAAATTTTTCGTTCCCCCTCCGGTCTTTTTCCATCCACACCTTTCTACTTCCTTCCGGTTCCGTCCGGTCGGTCGCGCATGAGGGCACGCAAGCGCGCTTACAGACCCCCGATGTTGCCGCGAAGTCCGTCCACCGCACACGGGGGGTTTTCAGTCCGTGAACATACGCGATCGGGTTCGCCTCGAATACCGAAAGTTATAATACACAGTGTAACTCGGCAAATGATTTAATCGCGCGAGTCGAACTATTATGCGGCGCGCCGAGTGCGATTGTCGAGGCTTCATGTGACCGAAAGTCACCCGCTGATTGTTAATTATTTATTAAGAAGCCGAGCATTTAGGGCGCAACGATGGGAATTAGAAGATTAGCCATATCGCGCGCTTTCGTTTGTTGCTCGAATATAATTTTCTTGGTAAGTCACCGGGCATTTGTCTCGGACGCAGCTTCAATTTAACTCTATTTTTAATCAATTAGCGAGGATATTTAAGAATTTACATATAAACATACAAATGAAATATTATATTGAATGTAATAATACTACGACGATGTAAAGTGGTTCGATATCGTCACGCTTTAATGCAACGGGTTTACCTGTTGTAAGCTGTTTAGCAAATCGACGGACTTGTGTAAATTTGCTACTTCTCTCTCCCTTTCAGATGTCGGGTTTCGTGTTGATGTCGCTGGGAGGATTGTTGTTAGCCGACAACGAACGGATTTTATTATCGCGTCTGCTAGGACCTGGTGACATTCATCCCGATCAGCCACTGTTTTATTACCTGGCTTTCGCTATAGTTGCACTAGGATTTCTCATCGCCATCACCGGACTTTTCGGATGCTGGGCGGCTTGTCTCTTTAATCGCTGCATCACGATCTCCGTAAGATTTACGTTTAAATATTTTAAATATTTTAATAAGTTCATTTATGCGTTTGCAATACTTTAAGAGTAGTTAACGTTTAAAATAACTTTTGAGAACAACGTGCATTCTTTTCATGTATCATACAGGCATTTAATTAAAGTGAAATTAATGTCTGAAACATTATCAAACTTTTTGTCAGATTCTCAGTTTGTGACTGCACTGAAAAAAAGACTTGGTTATAATAACACAGGCCTACAAGATTTTCCCCACCGAGATCTAAGGGTGTTTCTCTATGTAATTTTTTGCGCTGAATCCAAATCTGGCCGCAGAATTTGTCTAGCACGTCAGGATTTTGAGATATTCTAATTTAAAAGTGCTAAAAAGGCCATTTTTTGACATTTTCAAATGGAAATAAGTTCGAAACGCGATGATACTCGTTAATTTAGTCAACAGATTCGGATTTCTCATGACAAAATCTACGGAAATGCATATACGCGGTTTTCGAAATGGTGTAATATAATTACAACTGTAAGACACTTAATATTAACAAATTCCATTTTCTTTGGTACCTACCTAAGCACCGAACGTTTCTCAGACCAATTTCTTCAGAACTTTGTATCAAAGGGTTTTTCGGGTCACTGATTAAGATTTTAAAGTTAGAATTTGTATTTTCAACATGGCTGATCAAATATGGCGGCCCAAAAATTAAAAAATCGTTACAATTCTCTCAAAATCCTGACGTGCTAGACAAATTCTGCGGCCAGATTTGGATTCAGCGCTAAAAATTACATAGAGAAACACCCTTAAATCTCGGTGGGGATTCAAAAGTGTCATTTTTGTAGGCCTGTGTAATCCAAGTTTGGTTAATATGTTACCTAGATCTATGGTGAAATAATTTCAACTAAACGCACAGGTTATTATGACGATATAAATTGGTTAAAACGTTGCAGAATTCGGTTGGCTTAACTAAATGCAAAATTTACTCTTTCCAAATGTTTATAATTATTACCAAACGTTTCGCTATTTCTATCAAATTCGGTAATAATGACCGAATTTTTCAAAAAATGTACCACTATACATATGCATCTCAGGTTTACTTGGAACTTTTTTTCTGCGTGCATATGACTTAATAAACATAGAAATCGTTCGCACACGCCATAATGTCGGTCCCTCCTTCGTATTTAACTAGGAAAGAATTACCGCTCGTTTAAATTAGAGTCTTTGTTTATCGCGTATCGCAAGTACGACGCATGTTTGAATACGTCGATCAGTTGCGTCTCATCAGCCACGTTCTCCCGTAAATCGACCACAGTGTTGTTGCGCGTCCAGCCTGTCTGAAACGCCAGATTTCCTACTTCGGGTTCGGTCATGCATCGCCCGGAAACGGATCTGCTTGTATGCAGACACGCGCGTAAATAAAAGGAGGGCGCGTCCGAGCGCCGCGTAAAAACACTAATTATTCGCTCGTGTGGCTCGAACGAATGAGAGTCGGTTCGCCGGAGAAATAAATGCCACCATTTTATCCATTTTTAATACTATTTAAACTATCAGTTGCAATTAGCATATCAAATTGGATATATACGGCGATGTTAAGACATTTTTTTAATTATAATTATAAAAATGCCGAAGGTCGTGTATTGTTAAAACAGCTTTTACACACAGTTGAAATATGACAAAATGATTAATATTTTCTATTACCTGTAAGATTGAAATTTTCAATTTTCTTTTTATAGAAAAGCAACGTTTTTTTAATAATCAAGCATTGATTATTAAAATCAAATTATTAAATTTTTTAATATTGTGCGGTATATAATTTTTGTATTATAATCCGTAAAAGATATATAAAACGTTTAAAATGGATGCAGGTTGTAACGCGCAAAATTGCGAATGTAGCTCAGCTTGGGATCGATCTTCTGATTTCGTGTTTTCCAGTACCTTTTAACAATAATATTGTTGCTCTTCGGCGAATGCACCGTGTGCATCATCGCTGTTTTCTGGCCTCATGTACTGGGGATCGACGTAAGACCGGCGCGTCTGATACGCGCTCTGCAGCGCAGTTATGCTGTACCTGGACGCGAGCAATTCACAGCTGCCCTCGATCTTGCACAAACAACAGTAAGTTTGCCTATTATTTATCAAAAATTTAAAAGCAAAGATATAATATGTATATATTACCTAGTAAAAATATTTTACCAAAAATACATGAAATTTTGATGAAGTGCATTTGAAAATATCTCTCAATTAATTCTATTTTATTATCATCTCAATATTTCAGTGTTTCTTTTTTTTAAGTAACACAGTTTTTAATAAAACTCAGCAAATTTTATATCTATTATTTAATAATTTTGTCATTATTTTTCAACAATGTGCTTTAATTTTCCTTACATTTGACAATATTGAATTTTTATATAAAATTTTATAAGAAAAATTAAAATTTATTTTGTGAGATACATTTAGTAATTTTCCAATAACTTTCATTTCACTTTTTACATCGATTTTATCAGCAAATATTTTCATTAGGGTTGGTGTACACTTTTATAACGTTATATTATATTTAAATATTCAAGATCATTGTAATTAAATTACAGAAGTAATTAAATTACAGGAGAATTCTAACGTTATATTATATTTAAATATTCAAGATCATTGTAATTAAATTACAGGAGTCTGTATGTAAAAGTTTTTAGACAAATTAATATTATGAATAATGTGACTAGTAAAATTATATATCAAGTTATTTCATTCTGTGTTATTTTATTATATATGTCATGCAAAAAGTGAGTCTTCGTGTTTCGTATTTAGAAAGATTACAAAATATGCAAGAGCGAAAAGAGAAAAAGGTATAGAAAGGTCATTATTATAAGCACTTGCCGAGTGAATGGCGCGTGTATTTTACTGTACAATGGAATCAAACGAGAAAATGTACTCATGTCGTTGTCGTTGTGACCACTTACAGTTCGCCTGTTGCGGGATAAACGGAAGCAGCAATTACGGCACGTCGTGGTGGCGACTGCAGGAAGTCGGCCGCAGAGAATTAGTGATACCTCTCAGTTGCTGCACCCTGAATAACGCCAACGAGACGGGATCCTTCCTCAACCCCGAGCCTGCCAATCTCACTCTCTGCCAGGCTCTGAACCCTGCCGAACATCAATACGCCCGGCACACTGCGGTATGCGCGATAATGAGGAAGTTATTACCCCCTTGCCGTGCGGGCGCGAGATGAACTTTCCGAATCGACTCGCATTAAAGATAAATGTGGGGATCTACGTGCCGAATACGGGACCAAATAGGGTAGTGGCACCAAATATCGCCTACCCATACAGCACAGATGGTTGCAGTTACATTGCAGAAACGTTGCAATCTTGCAGAGACATTGCAGGGATATAAAATTGCAAACTTTCGATAGCAATATTGCAGCAATGTTTCAAAAATAATAAAAATACTATATTTTCTATTTAAAAAATTTTTCTAATTACGAGAATTTTATAATGTTATTTTCGTTGATACCAATAATGCGCGAATTCTTAAGTACTTGATCAGTGCGGTGTTGCTCGCAATCTCCATATATTGCGAAGCGACATCATCTCCTTAGGTTGCTTCGCAATAGCGTGCTGTGTATTGACAAAGGCCCGGATGCATATGTAATTAGTAAATTCTCTGCTTATGTACAACAACAACAAATTATTCCAAAAATATTACACTGCAACATTGCTATAACGTTGCACTGCAATCTCTCCGAGGGCGGACATTTCAACGTTGCTGCAATCCTCCAGAAACGTTGCAGCAATGTTGCGCAACGTTGCTGCAATATTGCAATCTTGCAATGTCACAATTAAACGTCAAAACGCAATGTCAGTTAAGTATTAACAATTAATTTAATATTAAGCTCGCAAGTAGGCCATATTTGGAACGCGTTTCAAAAAATGGCACTTTCTATTTCGTTACAAAATTTGCAAAAAAAAAACTAAGTTAGCAACCACTTGCAACATTTTCCAGTTGGTGACAAATAAAGTGATGTCTGTCTGTCATTTTAAGCTGTATCAGAACTTTTTTCGACGATTTTTGTGGCCACAGGGATCAAAAATAGTCAGGGTAGGCGATATTTGGTGCCACTACCTTACGTTTTCAACGTGGAACATCGACGTGTGACTGAAGCGATCATTTGCACGAGGTTGCATCGCACTATTCTCGTTTCATGAGACCAAAGATCGGTTTTATTACAGTCGCGAACATCCCCTTTTGCGTGAGTGCAAATAATGTCGCGAAATGATATTTGAGGAGGACGCAAGCTCTAGTTACGTTTCGAAAATTATCAATTTGCCTCTATGCGCGGCCGCGGGATTCAACGCGCCGAGTTTTCGCGCTTCGTCCGAAAGTTCGCGATAAAACCGGCATGACCTCGTATACGAATACTGGGAAAAAGATGTCGTGCGTCGATTAATGGCTTTTGTTTCGGTGGAGACGTAACAATGTTGCAAGAGCAATTTATCAGAATGCGGGCAGCCGGCAATGATGTTACTTTACGGTTGCATTTTCGTAGAATTGACCGAGAGATAATAGAATCTTATTGAAATTTGCGCAGTTGCTCGATTAGATATAAATATAAAAACAATTATGATGAGGTCGAAGGTGACAGAAATACAGGGTGTACTATAACCACCGGATATCCTCTTTTAATCAGAAATTCTTTAGAAAATTTCAAGACGAAAATTCTAATACAAAGATGTCGAGGCTATAATAGTTTTTAAATAATAAGGGATTATATTTCACAAATGATGGGCCTGAGATTTCGCGCTCAGGTACGACGACAAGACAGTTATATCTTGTCTTAATAAATTTATAGTTTTATAAATATTGTGCGATGTGTAGCGCTTCTGCACGAGAAAAGTGGTACAGTAATAGTTGTGACACTGTTTTAATGAGTTTAGGAATGCGCGTTTAGATTCAGTTTTATGAGGAAAATTTTACTTGAGAAATAAATCGAAAACGCTCAAAATAGTTTCGAAATGGCCATCGAGTAGAATATTCCTCGGAGAAGAAGATTTCGGAACGTTACCCTGAATCTAAATGTACGTTCCTAAACTCATTAAACAAAAGTGTCGCAACCATTCTGTCCATCACTGTACAGTGCATTTAGATTCAGGGTTACGTTCCAAAATCTTCTTCTCCGAGGAATATTTTACTCGACGGCCATTCTGAAACCATTTCAAACGTTTCCGATCTATTTCTCGAGTAAAATTTTTCTCGGAAAATTTTTTTTAAAACGTAAACCAGAATCTGAATGCGCGCTCCTAAACTCATTTTAAAAAGTGTCGCAACCATTCTGTCCATCACTGTACAAGTAAAAAGTACGTATTTTTACGTTTTTATAATTTTTTAACTTGGAAAATGTATGTAGTACTTTTATCCAGAATAGCATCATAAGTGTAGTTATAAAAATTTCAATCAAAAAAGACTAATACAAAAATGGTATTTTGTTAAAAAATAGCGACGGTAAAAAAAGGAACGTTCAGAAGAAAAATACATTTTCATACTACGACGAAAGATCTGTGTACGATCTGCAAGCAGATTAAAGGGTTAAAATTATTCTCAAAATGATTACTTTGAACTCGTGTCACTTTTCTCGTGCAGGAACAATATAGTAGTAAAATTGTTAGTCTCGATAACGTATGCGACCCGCGCTTCCCGAACGAAAATTTACTGAAAAACCAATAGAGAAAGCGTCACGCTCTAATAACTTCGTAGAATGTTTTAAATCGCATGTTTCTTCAAACACGAGCGAATTTGTCACTGGTCAATAACGTTCCAGCAACAAAAGCCAAGCTGATAAATCTTAGACTAATAATATTTTGATCTCCCTAGCGGAAAAATTTTTTATAAATAACTACAAAAAATTGACTTAAAATAGAAATTTGTTGAAACATTTACTATATTTTTTGTAAAAATATCTACGAAATAGTACCATAAGTTACAACGTTTTCAAATCAAGAAATTATTGCAAGTGGTATTTCATGAAAATGTACAATTTTGTAAAAATTAGTACAAAACTTTACCCGTTTAAAAAATTTGAGAAACATCAAGATCTTAAAGAATTAAAACATCTGCTTACTTGTAGAATATTACAAAAGTTGACAAAAGTGTTCCAATTCTAGCATTTACATGTTGACTTTTATAAAACTTTTTCAATTTACGTAGAATCTCTTAGATTTTGACAGTTGTATTTAATTTTTTCGTAGAATTTTGTAGAATTATTTTCGGCAAGTCATATACCATATACAATTTATTCATGTTACGTCCAGGGCTGTCTTGAACACATCGAGAAGTGGACGCAAGATCAGGCTTTGATCTTGCTGGCTATCGTATTAGCAGTCATGTTCGTCGAAGTCACGGCGCTTCTCAGCATACTTCTCGCTTGCTCCCGAGGGAACAGGAGAAGCAAATCGCAGGCATCGACTTTCACCTCCACGCAGACTTTAAGCCCATTCACCGAGAGCGATCACGACTTTAGTAAGAAGCTGCTCTTAAACTGCAATTTTAGTCGCGCGACTTGGAAAACATCCTCGAGTGCGCTTAACTCTGTGCCGAGAGGAATGTTCCTGTCGTTCTTTAATATTCCCGAAATTATTACCATCTCTCGGTCAATCTGATCGTGTCCCAATTTGCCCGGTTTGCAGGTATAGGCATCGAGAATAGGATGCATACGGCCGGAACGACGTTCGGTGCCAAATCATGAAGATGGCTGGAGGGCAGCGAAGGACGGACAGCAATCGACGTCAAGGACGCGAGTAAGCGAGAAACGTGCGACGATACCAAGTACAGCGTGTTGGCAACGAGCGGGAAGGGCATAATCGAGGAATGGCGAAATCCTCCCAAATACTCCGAAGATTTGCTACGAAGCGATCAAACGTACGAGGAGCGAGCGGTCGACGTTGTGATCGACAAGCCTGCGGATCTTTCTAAGAGACATCCACGGTGCGCGTCGTTGCCGAAGGTAGCGCGCGAAGACACGGGCAGAAATAACAGCGATGACAAGTTGATTAAGATCAAAAGGCCGCAAGGTGGTGGCACAGTTAGGAGCATCCCCATTAAAGATTATCAGGCGTCGATCGCGCATAACATCGGTACGTTAAGACGATCCGTGGCGCCTCAGTCTCAATTCGAGTCGCTGGTCTCCGAACCCGAGAGAAGCGTGTACGTGCCGTTAAGGAAAAGAGTTCCTATCGTTAGCGACTCGCATCACCGGTCCGCGTCGCAAACAACGTGCGTCGTCGCGCAAACCGTGGAGGCGGACAGAGCTCGCAGGAGATCCTGCTGCTTTTGCGACAGTCAGCACGAACCGCGCGGTTTCTATTGCGCCCACGCCAATTCGAGCAAGCACGTCGAAAACATTAGATACTCGAACGAAACCGAGGACCGACGATCGCAAGACGGTTCCGACGTAGACGAGTACTTCCACAGGAGCACGCGAGATTCGCGTGGGAGATTCAGCACCTCGGTTGACCACCGGGTTTCGCGGCGTACGCGCGAGTCTTCGGGAAACGCGGGAACGGCGATCGGTACGAAGAACGAGAAAGCGAGAGCGGAAGAGGAGGCGCAGGCGGTGCAGTTAGCGAAAGGTCACGTTGGCGAGAAAATATCGGCTTACGAGCAGAACGCTCGACGCAGCTTGCGCAGCGCCAGCCCCAAGTATCGAACGCTCTTCGAGGTAAGGGGACACCGTACCATCGGGGTGCCGTTGGTGGGTATGCATAACGCTTGTGGCTTACCCGTCGTGGCTTCCTGGCACGATCACGAGCTCCTGGACTCTCTGCGGATCAGCCGCAGGATCGCGGCCACTGCGGGACCCATTTACAAGGGTCCTCGCACGATCCCGCACGTGCGACGTCGGACACAGCCGAAAAGGAGGGCGCCGCAACCGGATCGTGGAACGGTCCATCCGAGGGAGGTCGATCGCAGTGTTAAAAGATCGACGAACAAATCAGCGGGGTATTTGGACGCTACTGAAGGCAGCAAGTCCAGGAGAAAGCATTGTCGCTCTTCAGTCACCGTGACGAAAGTGGGATCGCTGTCCTCGAAAAATTCCTTCAAGAGGATGCCTAGAAGATACGGGATTAAAGCGAGTTCGCTGGTGGACACCTTTGGCAGGAGGTCGGTTAAAGGAGGAAGCGCGAAACGGACAACTCTATATGCGAAGGACGACGGCGAGGAACCGGTACAAGTCCTCAAGAGCTTATGCTTAAATCCTCTGGCGCGCGCCAATCCAGAAACGGACATGATGTGGTGAAACTCGTAAATTGACGTGTCTGCTTATTTGCTCTTCTCGATTAATGCATTTATATATTATTAAGCCATTTAAGATGAAGGAGTTAAGTACGAATGCAAGCGCTATATTGTTTGCTTAATTATTTAATGTTAAATTGGACACAGAGAGAATAGCAAGGTATAAAACAAGCTTTTCATTTATCGACATTTTCATCAATTATCTCTTGTATGCTTCTATTTTTAGTATATTGGTACTAGAGATGTGCGAGCTATTCGAATACGAATTGAATCGAATAGAATCGAGCGAGATTCGGCTCGATTCGAATTTGAATTTCTATGATTCGAAACTTTCAAGCCTAAATGGTTTGGATATAAATTATATATATGCCCAGGGACAATGACTCGTCAATCGATATCAAATCGACATCGACAAATTTATGTCGAATCGACGTCGAATTTGACAGGGTCGACGTCGATCCGACATCGTTTCGACGAACCATTTCTCACTGGGTTGTCAACCTTCCCACACAGCACAGAAAGATTGCAGAAATGTTACATTGCAAGATTGCAACATTGCTGCAACGTTTCTGGAGGATTGCAGTAACGTTGAAATGTTCGCCCTCGGAAAGATTGCAGTGCAACATTATAGCAATGTTGCAGTGCAATGTTTTTGGAATAATTTGTTGTTGTTGTACATAAGCAGAGAATTTACTAATTACATATGCATCCGGGACTTTTTCAATACACAGCAAGCTATTGCGAAGCAACCTAAGGAGATTATGTCGCTTCGCAATAGATGGAGATTGCGAGCAACACCGCACTGATCAAGTACTTAATAATTCGCGCATTATTGGTATCAACAAAAATAACATTATAAAATTCTCGTAATTAGAAAAATTTTTTAAATAAAAATATAGTATTTTTATTATTTTTGAAACATTGCTGCAATATTGCTATCGAAAGTTTGCAATTTTATATCCCTGCAATGTCTCTGCAAGATTGCACTGCAATCTGCAAGATTGCAACGTTTCTGCAATGTAACTGCAACCATCTGTGCTGTATAGGATAGTATCGATAATAAAATTAACTTTATTATTTCGCTTTAATTAACTATGCACATACATGTAATTCGATAATGTTATTGGATACTTTAGTGGATACTATATTAGAATATTTTAATAATTTCACCATGACTTTTTGCCTAATTGTTTCAGTTACTGTGACATCAACTAAAGTATATGTTATTAGTTTTATATTAAATATTGGATCGTATTCTTCATCTCGAAACGAATACATAACACGACTACATATTATGTAGTCCATATTTTTTGCATCAAAATAATTTCTTCTTATCTACGTGTTGAAATTTAATCTATAATAATAATTACATTTTAACGATTCTATTCGCTTCGATTCAATTCGACATAAAAAAAATTTTTGACTCGCGCGTCTCTAATTGGTACGAATGAATTAATTACACTGTGTGACTTGTAAATACATATTACATATTATCGATATTTTATACTTAAAGTTTCATAATAAATCCTTTGCTGCCCTCATTAAGGTAACATGGTATTATCTTCATCACATGTTATGTGTCATAATATTTGTATTTTCTTTCGCGATGTTATTTTTCTGAATTCTTGTTACATAATTTATACTATTAAAGTTAGGTACGTCAGTACCGCAGTGGCGATCTGAAACACAATGGACATTATTGCTTAGTAACGATATTGAGAATAAACTCATCTTACCGGAAGGAATATCGTCATATCCAGTGGAAAGAATTCCGCGGCTGTGAAAGAATATCTCCTGTGATAAAAATATAGCAACATCTCGATTTTGTCCTGAAACCAATTGCTTGGTTAAAATAAATTATCTACAATCCGACTGAGAAAAATGAAGAACTTACCATGCGGCACTTTCTGTTCGAAAAGGATAAACCATATTTTATCACGCGCTCTTCAACGCGATTCGCCTGAAATTATAGTAATAATTTATTTTTATATATAATTTGTTCATCTACTTTTAAAAAGATATCGAATAGTCAAACATTTTCATTAATACAGGAAGTGCTCTTAGGTAAATAATGTCACAATAAAACTGTCGGTTTTACCTCATAGGTCGTAAAGTGATACATTGCAACCAAATAAATAGTTTGAAATAGCAAGTCCATTGCCGCTGCAAGATTGTCTTGTATACTGTTGCCCCCCTGCAAATCTTTTATGAACAGGTATATAATCCAAACAAGTTCTAGCAGTATTGACAGAAAGGTGAACAAAGTGCCTATCCCATATAATGCGTTTATCAGTTTGGAACTATCGAGAAGCACGCCGTGCAAATAGCGTACGTCGTAAACTGTGATCTCATCCTGCGTCCCGGTCACCGGTAACTCCGAAACGTGAGGGACTATCGTCTCGTTCAAATGACGAAAACGTTGGCGTATCAGATCGAGAAATATGCACGTTATTAAGACGCAATAGGTGCCACAGATGGTAAGAGCTGTATTTTGCACCATGGTTAGTATCCCCATCATTTCTTTCGATACATCTTTAATGTCGTAATAAAATTTCCACCCTATTGTGACGAGCGTGTATATGAAGAACACGTACGAGAATACATGTTTGTCTCTTCTTTGATGCCCCAGTGCTATCGCCTGTTCGTCATACGTCACAAGTTTGTCGGACAACTGCACCGATCACATGCAAAACACGACGTGACAGTTTATCACAATTTAAATTTGCGTAACATTTATTTTATAAATCCTATGATATATCTTAAAGAAATCTTCATTTTTATGACATGTATTTTTCTAGTACTAGTAAAATGTATATCAATTGTAAGTATTATAATTTCTCTCTCTCTCTCTCTCTCTCTCTCTCTCTCTCTCTCTCTCTCTCTCTCTCTCTCTCTCTCTCTCTCTCTCTCCAAAATAATAAAAATAAAATCCTTTCAAGTGCCGTGTTGTCCCATAATTACATGATTTTCAGGATAAATTTTAAGAGAAAATTCTCTCTGTATATGTAGTAGACTTTTGGCAGTATATGTATAAGATTAAAAATGCATTTACCTTAACGAAATGTTCGCTCCAAAAGATTGCCACAAAACTATAAGGAAGTATGGAGAAAAAATACGCACTAGACCGCAAGATAGTTAGGAGAAAGTAATTTCTATCTTTTTCAGGCGATGCGATGCACATCTCATAATAAAACATACTCATGTATAAACAATGAAACAAGACCCACATTGTACAAAACCTACGACTCCAAGCACTGCTTGATTTCAATCGGCCGTTCATCAATTTACACGAAAATATACCTAATGCTTTGTTGAATGTCATTAAGAATTTCAGATTTCGGAAGGGCATTTTTGGATCAATTTGATATTGATGTTTGTCAAGCTAACTGCTTTCGATAAATTATGTTTGAAAAAAGTATCTTTGCTAAATATATTTTTAAATAACTTCATTGAACGAGGCTAGTCGAGTTGAAAAATGACCGAACAATCACCATCACCTCATGCGACTGACAATGAGTTTTACATAGACATTGTCGACTTTGATATTTATTCATTTTCATACCGTCAAAGCACATTGTGCTGCCGCACATGCATACTTTCTGATACATTCAGTCTGATAAAAGACGGAGATTAAGATTGTGACAAAGCGTTAACACAATCGTAATAATGGCCATCGAATCATACATACGTATATGTATACATATATAATATACTGTACATAACGTTCTATTTGCGGCACATCAACTAATAAAAAATGAGGATGGCAGTCGTCTACCTAAATATACAGGGTGGTCTAAAAGTCCCGGAACGGTTGAATATCCCGAGAAATTGTGGGTGGATCAGAAAACGGAAAAATACGTATTTCCTATTTTTGAAAGAGCTATCGAATGATACCAAAATTGACTCCCACCCCCACCCCTGTGGGTGGAGCGGGGGACAACTTTAAAATCTAAAATGGGAACCCCCACTTTTTATAACAGATTCGCATTCCACGTTAAAAAGTACGTAAGTTTTGTCTGAAACATTTTTTATTTGCCTAATACTTTTTGAGATATTCAAGAGAAAATTTATAACTTTTTCAATGTTTAGCTTATGATATCTCGTTAATTATTTGTCAGAGGGAAAAGTAGTACAGGACTTTTTTACCTGATTTGATCTCAGGAATATGCTGTTGCAATAGTGCTCCAATTATGTAAAATTTTTGTGTATTGTACCATCTACCAAATTTACTTACATCAAAATTTTCAATACTTAGAGCACTATTGCGACAGCATATTCCTGAGACCAAATCAAGTAAAAAAGTCCTGTACTACTTTTCCCTCTGACAAACAGTTATCGAAATATCATAAGCTAAACATTGAAAAAGTTATAAATATTCTCTTGAACATCTCAAAAAGTATTAGGCAAATAAAAAAATGTTTCAGACAAAACTTACGTACTTTTTAACGTGAAATGCGAATCTGTTATAAAAAGTGGGGGTTCCCATTTTAGATTTTAAAGTTGTCCCCCGCCCCACCCGCAGGGGTGGGGGTGGGGGTCAATTTTGGTATCATTCGATAGCTCTTTCAAAAATAGGAAATACGTATTTTTCCGTTTTCCGATCCACCCACAATTTCTCGGGATATTCAACCGTTCCGGGACTTTTAGACCACCCTGTATGTTACGGCTTCTGTTCCACATCGTCGAATCACGCAATGCTGGTGTCAACGTCGATAAAGTCGATAGAATTGTGCTTTCGTTTGTTCGGAATTTATGTTAACGAAATACTATTAACTCGTCGGTTATGTTGTAGGCTTATAATTAAACATATTACCATGGTTGGGAAGTAACGCGTTACTTGTACAGTGATTACAATACTGTGAAGTACTGTACGTAAATTTCTGTACGTGAAGTTGCTTCACGTTGAAGTCAACATATATTACGTTGCTTATTATTACATCGGATTAATTGACACATTCATCTTTGCATTGCAATATCTCCACTCATGGGGCATGTAGGAGAAAAATAAAAACACTCTAATTATGCAAATCAAACCCAAGCTGTCGATTGAGCACACTTAGAAGTTCATCGGAACAGCCATTGTTGAAATCCGAAAATCTCACGGCCTGTCAACTCGCGTACTCGCGTAAGTTACACGGTCGGTGTCGCGCGCGGGGTTTCTAGCTACGCTTATACTTGGCGCGAGACACTACCGTGTCTCGTGATTTGAGATAATATTCTTCTTTTTGGAGGTCATATTAAAGTATCAAATGAGATTATTATGATTTTTCCAAAATGACTTTTAAGTGATATCATAATGATGTCATTATGAATTTAATGTTCTACCTGCCCAAGGAGAAATAAAAAGTTAATATGACGTCAGTTTAATGTCATATTGACCAAAATATGACGTAAATTTGGTCAATGTGAAATCAAATTGACATCATCTTGATTTTTATTTCTCCTTGGGCTGGAAAGGTACGCCGCACCTGAAGCTGAGCGCCGCGTGCTTGGTTATAGTTACGGTCAAGTGATTCGAGTAGGGGACAATAGGTGATGACTCCCGAAAATCGGCCGAAACATGCAAATTCTGGACAGCTCTGTGACCTAAATTAAAATTAATCGCACGTTACAGTATATGAGATTCAATGTTAATTTCGGTTATGAAGCAATCTACGATTTGCATATTTTGGCCGATTTTCAGGAGTCACCTCCGGTTGCCCCCTACTCGAATCACTTGACCGTAACTGGAACCAAGCGCGTGGCGCTCAGCTTCAGGTACGGCCTACCTATGTAGGTAGGTCTAAAAACAGACGCCAAATATAAGCGTCATCCAATCAAGAATTATATAATTTAATCACGAGACACGGTAGTGTCTCGCGCCAAGTGTAAGCGTAGCTAGTACACGCGTGCGAGACCGACCGTGTAAGTTTACGCGAGTACACGAGTTGACGGGCCCTCAGATTTTCGGATCTCAACAACGGCTGATCCGACGAAATTGAGACTGCGCTTAATCGATAGCTTGGGTACGATTTGCATAATAAAAGTGTTTTTACTTTTCTCCTACGTGCTCCAGGAGTGGAGGTATTGCAATGCAAAAGTCAGATTTGTTAAATTTTGGATTAAGAAACGTCTTTGTCGTCTTCGTCCCGGTCGTCTTCGTCCTGG